TAAAGCGTGAACCCCTCAACGCTCAAGCCCTGAACCCCAGACAGCGGCATCTTTCTCTAGCGCCATAGAAAACCATCCGTGCCAGAAACCGAAAGTGAAACCGCCAGCCAAAGCATCCATATGCAAGCTCGCTACACCCTCCAACTTAGTAGCTGCTTCAGAGGGCTGAATCCTAACCCAAAATGTAGTGCAAACCCTGAAAGAAACTATGTTGGAGGGTCCAGGTACTGTCAGAGTTTGGGTAGTGCAGTTTGAGGGCCCGTCGGAAGTGTGATTCATCAACCGCTTTTTGTGGGTATCCTCTATTATCGGACGGCGGTTGGCAACATGTCAGGCAAACGTTTGGGGTCCGTCTCTTCTCTAGCATCAGTTTACTACTCTAGCGGCCTAGATTCCTAGAAACTTACCACTATCCGTCGAGGGACCCATACCATCACTTTACAGAAATTTTGACACCATAACATTGGTAGTTGCTATGCTTCTATATTACGTACATACCAGTCTCCATAACGTCACCGCCTCACACTCGTTTACGGCTATTACAGTGTGGAAATGGCAGTATTCTCCAAGGGGATTGAGTATTATAGTATTCTCTAAGGGATTTGGAACCCCAGTAGAAATTATAATTTCAGCTAAATATTAGGATTCTAGGTAACAGAAATTAAAAATCATTTTCAGGAACCTTGTAGTATTGCCATAGACACGGGAGTCAGCTTCGTGGCTCCCCGGGAGTACACAGCCGGAAGAGCCACTGAGGATGCTCCAGTTGAGGATCACCAATGGAGCCTAGTAGTGGCTTGCTAACGAGCTGTTTCCCAGAAGTCTTTGTGGGACTTCAGTATACACATACTCTGAGCCCTAAAGCCTAAATTCTACGGTCCACTGGGCTCTGTTCATCAGATGCATCCTAGAATTGAGGGCTCTACGCGCAGTGCGTTGATCAAGCTTGTGAGATTTTGACGCGTCTCATAGCTATCTGACTCTTTCCAAGAGACACATTGTTGGGACACTTCTAGTCCGTGTGTGGCAAAAGCACCCGCCCAATCCTCAACCTCTGTTTGAGAGGTTACTGATTGGGACTGCTGGGCTGTGCTTAAGGAATTCGAATTAAGTTACGTTTGTGTGATTTATCAATCGTGAATACAGTAGTAGAGTTTCTTTAGAAAGGTGCTCCAGCTTGCGTTCCTTGATGGTCACGCGCATCCCTGTCACGTCTGCTTGGGCCGGGTTTGAGCTAGAAAAGTTTTCGCACAGTCGACTGCAGGAGCCAGCGCAGCAGATTAGAATTCCGAATTAATCAGGGGTCTCCTCATCATGTAGGGTCTCCTTACAGAACGCCCAGCTTGACGCGTTTAGCCGAGAATCTCGGTTCTAATGGCTATCCTAAGCCCTAAACCCTAAACTCTATTGGCTCCCTCACAGGCGGCTCGGCTCACCTACCATCATCAGCTCCAGCCGTCCAGTTGCAGACAAGGCCAAGCAATCATGAGCCGTGCAGATACAAGCCATGCAGAAAAAAGGCTAATTAGTCGATGAACCTCGCAAGATTATGTTCTTCATATAAAATACTATAACCCAAAGGAGGATATAATCTTACTCTATATTGGGTACCATAATACCCCCAAAATAAAATACTACTGAGTTGTAGTTGCCAAGATGGCTAAACTGCTTAACATTGGGACTGTATCTTCTGGCAACTCGAGGACTCTAGTGCCCAGGATGTGCTTGTGACCAAACAGTCCAAACAGTATCAGGGGGACTGTTGGATTCCTTGCAAATACCGAGAGAACTGCCCTACCCAGTAACAATCTATGATAAGGACAAATGTTAAGGGCTCTACATACATGTATTCTTACTGCTGTCCAACGGTCACTGAGTGAGGAGCTACATCCAAATCCTTAACCCCCAAACCCCTAAACCCAAAATCCTTAACTCCCCCCAACCCCTTAACCCCCAAGCCCCCAAACCACCAAACCGTTGAACCGAAGTTGCCTGCGCTTTTGAAGAACTGTCAGACATGCCATTCAGTGAGCTTGCGTAAGATTATTTTGTAGGATCCCACGCATCCTGAAATATGCGGTCCCCTTTCCCCAAACAATTGACCTCGCACCCTCTGAATATTGAGTACCGCCACTTTAGTACCATTATATTACGTGGGCGGATATGTGGTAATTTCCCAAAAAAAAGGCACCCCAATATAGACCCCGAAATACTATAATCCTTATTATTGGGACCACCGAAATGGTACCCATAATTTTGGGAAACCCCCATGTATTCTTAGCAGATGGGGGGATTATTGTTAGGGGAGGGGATTATGTATCACCTCAGGCCCGACGAACGAATGGGTAACTTGTGAAGCAGGAAATGGACATCTGACCATCAGATGCTTGCGAGGTCAGCTAACTCACCGTTTAGGGTTTTTGGCTGTTAGGTTGCAGTGATGTGGGGATAGGCTCCCTGAACCCTAGACCATTTACAACAAGGTCCCGTGTTTGGGACCCTAAACCCTAAACATCCAGGGGAGTGTTGACGCTTTGTGGTATGGGCCTGTATACTTACGAAGATTATGATTTGAGAGTCTGTTTGAAACAACTCATAGCATCACTAACAATCCGGGATCATAATATTAGTAATCCTTTAGCCCTTGTAGTTTGTAAGGCATCAGAACCTCAGCTTTGTCTGCAAGAGGATGCCCTGTTGTGGGCATGGTGTGCTCACCAATCTGGAGAATCCAGGGAAAGAGGCCAACCCTTGGCAGTCAACTCTTCAGCATCACGCTCCAGCACCTCAAGGAGGTTTACTGGTGGTTAGTAAGGTTAGGAGGGAATGCAGGGAAGGAAAAGGTTTTGGACGCTATGTTGTTGGGGGTTGTATAGGGACTACCCACCCTACTGACCACCAGTAGGGAAGGTCTGGGAGTCTTGGGGGGAGAAGCGGATCCCTGCCCCTTAACATCCCTTAATACGATTACACACCAACACCCCCCCCAAAATGCAATATTTCCTCTCATGACCTAGATACTCTGAAATACATGTCATACTAGGGGCTGGAAAGTAATTAGAGGGAGGGGATTACCCGAGCCTTCTATTGGGTTGACAAGTTAGGTTCAGAGAAATAAGCCTCATGGCAAGACTTAGGGTTTCTAGGCCGACTTTATCGGGGGACTCGGTTATAGGAATTCATTTTGGAACTTCTCCAGGTTGCTAAGTTGATCCCATCCACTCCGAGGAGAGAAAACCTGGCGATTGAACTCCTTAGGACGACAACGACTTCATGTAATCCCCGCTCCGCACTTGGTTGCGTTCTTGTCGAAGATCTTGATATGTGTGTCGTAATTAGAGGGAACCGGGTCTAATCTATGAGGAAACCTTTTTTCTCTAAACCCGCGGCATTCACTGCGTTACTGCGTAGAGGGCATGACGCTGCTGCTGCAATCACTAAGCGAACTTCAGGGCACGAAGCCTAGTAGAGGGTTGCCAAAAAATTGGCGTCCCTTTACGGGCATCTTAATACTCCCCTCCCCCTCGTATGCAAACCCGCACTCCCCAAATAGTAGCTATTCCATAAACAGTTTACTGTACCACAACGGGAATATTTGATTTTAGGGGGGTAGGAAGGTTTTATGCAATAAGTTGGAGCTTTGGAACAGACGTGTATTCAGAGGCATCATCTCGACGAGCTGCAGATTTGTACGATAAACATGGTTCAGTTCAGAGCTCTTTCGGATTTAAAACATGAGCATGCGGATATTCGTGCGTTCTTCCAAATTTTGACTTCGTATACGGTGTATGTGTTAATTGAACATCTGGACACCAAACCCTGAACCTGAACTTTGTGCCATCCCAAACAACTCCCCTCAAACCCCTGTATAACCCCAATATAACCCCTATAGAATCCCTATACTACCCCCATATAACCCCAAGGGCCCACGAAATGTTCAGGGAGCTGGATCGGCCCAAGCTTGGAGCCCAGGAAGGAGAGTCTAGGGACGGGAGGGTAGGGTTTAGGGGTACTACTCCAATAACGGAGAATCAAATGAATGGAAAAAACGGGGAACATGAGGTGGAAACTGGGATGTATATGGATATATGGATTGTAGGGAGCCCTGGGAACGGTTAATGCAGGGGCCTACTTAAGCATAAAAGGATATGGGGTCTGCCTTAGACCAGCATTACATACTGACAGTAACATCAGGATGATGGGAAAGGTCTTGCCAATCATGAGAGCTTGGAATGGATCCCCCTCCCCCGAAACATTGCAATCCTTGTCATGGAAACCCCCAAGAAGGNNCCCCCCCCCCCCCCCCCCGTGTCGGAATCTACATTGCTTCCATCTGGGCCTCTGGTGTGGCAGCTTCTCTGTAGATCTTCCTCCTTAGCATTTCAGGGCTTAACTATATGTCTACTAGGACTATTAGCCAACTGCTACCTGAAACCCTAAACCCTGAACTCTAAACACTGGGTGGGGTGGGGCAGTATCCAAGGTGTAGGCTTTGAAGGTAGGTTCTGGTGTGATCCTTGCTGGGCATTTAGGACTGTCGGCAATTATCTTAATATTCCTGGGACATCAGCCTTGCCCCCGTAAGTCGACGAACCCCAGCGAAAGGTGGAAACTTCATAAACGTGCTTAGACTGCCTCTGCTGACTGAAAAGCGCACTGCCACACTGGCTGTGTTTTGGAACCAGCTGTCAGCAACATCACGCGTTGGGGACCATTCAGAAAATGCACTGGGGTAGTTGACAAAACTAGGACTCCCCTTGCAGGAACCGCAGATGAGTATCTCCCACTCCCCAATACCCCAAGAATACTAGAATTCAGCCTGCATGCAGGGTCCATGGATATACATGGGTGGTGAATAGGCCGAATCCCCAAACCCTATTCCCTAAACNNCCCTAAACCCTATATACCCCCATGCAGCCCCTAGAAATCCCCAAGCTCTACTACAGCAGGAGCCTAATCCAGCAGGCGAGAAGCTGCAAACTGTCTGCATCCATTGCAGCTTCATCAAAGCTCCAGTCGAGGTGGCCCGTGGCAATAGGCTCCTCCTAGGTTTTAGGATTTGGGTGATTGTCAAAATTATGATCCCTTTTTGGGTCCCTATTATAATACCCTGTGGTTGCGAAGGGCTGTGGACGGATTTAGGCGGAGAAACGCAA